GAGTCAAACCAAAGACAAAAATGTAAAAAAGATCAGAGGAAGTGAGATCTTTGCACTAGTTGTACTAAATGCGTTTGGCACAGATTTGCCTCCTGTCACATGATTAAAGTAGCCTTTTAAACTCAACACATGCATGCTTGTGGCTGTGTTACTGAATATCATTTTTCAGCATATTACCTCGGTTTGATTAGCTGGCACATTTAAAACATTGGAAGCGTCAATTGAAAATGAGCAGAAAAATATGCACACGTGTTTTTTGTCCTCGGTGTGTACAAGAGCATTCTGTAAACTATCCTGAGTCTGTAGCAACAAACTTGTGCAACTGCACGTTAGAAGGCCAAGTGGCTCCTAGTGGCCCACCTCAAAATGAAAAGGAACTTGGTGAGAGGGTCCCTATCCATTCACTCTCCTGTGGAGCCTCCACATTGCTTTCATAATAGCACAGGTTGTGTTTTCCTTTTTAAATAATGCTCTCCTCTGTATCCCATTATCCATCCTCCATGGAACAAAAATTAACGTGCTTATTCACTTTACACTGTCAGTAGGCTCAGGGTCTGTGTGTGTGTGTGTGTGTGTGCAAACATGCACGTGTGGTAATTCATTGTTTGGTTCAGGAAGCGTTTCCGTGCCCGGTATTTTTAGCTGCCAGTCTGTCCACGCTACAGCAGTGTTTCACATCGTAGTCTTATAGCAGGCCAACACACAAGACTCAAACTAGTTCTCCACTGTTTGGATGTTAATAATCATGTTTTAAATGTGTAAATACTAAATGCTAAAAACCTAAATCCAGGGAAATGCACAGTACTGTGCAAAAGTCCTGAGCAACCCCAACAGCAGCCAGACTTCTCCAAGTTTTCTGAGATCTTTCAAAGTTCTTCTTTGAACTTTGGCTGCTTTATTTCGCCTGTGAGTCATTCAAGCATGTTGTTTAAGTACGTTGTTACTAACAGTTTATCACAAAACACATAATTTGTAATTTCTTTTGTTGAAACTATGAAAAATACCAAAATATAACGCAAAAAGCAAAAAGATTCCTTAAGAGCCAAAACCTGACATATCTCAGCACAGTGTGTAGTGTGTCAAATAATAGTGCAGAGTGTCCTTAAAGAAATTTAGGAAACTGGACAAGTGGAGGACAAAAGAATAAGTGGGAGGCCTGAAAACTTTATCTAAAGCTGATGAACGGTATCTGAAAGTCATGTCCTTAAGAAATAGGAAGGAATCCAGCAAAGACCTGACACCGAACTTGAGGGATGCATCTGGAACTTCAGTTGATCTATCTGCAATTCGCCAAAACCTCATCAGAAATGGTCTCAGTGGAAGGGTGGCTGTCAAGAAGTCATTCTTAAGGAAGTGAAACAGGGGGAAAAGGCCGCGGTATGCCAAATTACACAAGAACTGGACTAAAACTCAGTGGCAGCAGTGGATGTGGAGCGATGAATCCAAATTTGAAGGAGGAGGTGTGGAGAGAGGTAGAACAGCCAGT